CCCTGGAGAATTACGTCAACAGGCTAAAATCAATGGTCAATCAGCTCAAATAATGAAATGTGAAATATTAGGAAATAAGAGCTTGGGATGAGAAAAAGTGAGGTTCTTCTCAGAGGAGCCTGACTAGACCTGAACAGTACCCACCCCTCTCACCAAGGAAAGATGACATCCCTTACATGGTGGAGTCCAGAAACCCATCTGCTACTGATCCTGAGAGAGGCTGAAAATCTAATTTGCTGATCAGGACAGCTTTGATCTGGCTCGGGGCCTGGTGTCCTCTCCAGTTTCCTTCACTCTGATGAACAAACATGATATTTTCTTGAGCAATCTGAGAAGTTCTTTGTAGAAAAATTCTGTTTCTGATTTGGGTGGTGAATTGAGGGAATGTGGAGCATGCAAGATGTGCCACCGGGACTGAAACCAAATTCGGAGACGCTCTTTAAAATGGAATCTAAAAAGTGCTTTATTGTTCTGGCTTCACATACAGAGTCCCTGGACTCCCTGCCCCATGTAGTGGGCCGACTGTTGAATGCGACTTTCCTTTAAATTACCCTGTCAGATCCTGTATGCATGCTCTGTGATTAATAGGGTTACCCCATGTGGTTCCAGTTTTCGGAACATCATTTTTCTTCAAGATTGCATGCTCCGTGGTGGTCTTTGCCTTTTCTTTCTGAAGAGAGACATAAAAATTCTCAGATACGGTGGCTTCGCTTAATGATGAAAACCCTGTCTTAGATCTTTCCGGTAATTTACACCTAAATATCTCCACCACTGACAGTAACTTCCTCTTGAAATAACCCAGCTGGAATTTCCACTTAGAACAGGATAAGAAGGGAGTGAGGATGGCTTTTTTCTTGTCTCCGCCTTCCTTTTAGCCTTCTTTTCCATCATCTTTCTGCCCCGCCCTCTTTCCCCTTCTATTCTCAAGTTTCATTTATTTAAAGCGGCTGGAAAAAAAATTATAGCACCATAGTTACTTAGAATTCCACAAGCTTGCCTGTATTAATAGCAGTTAACACTTCATTGGTGTGTATATATAAATATACTGAGTAGCTTTTTATTTAAGAATATATACTATATGGATCTACCTGGCGGCTACATGTGGATGGAGCATATTCCTATTACAAACCCGACATCATAAAATTTTAATTGTCCACATTGAAGGTTGGCTAAGGTGTTTATTTGTTGTACTCAGAAATGCTACACACACTTGGAGTGTTTATTCTGGCTTTGTTTCTGTGCATTAAAAGTGTCTGGTGCAGCTGAAGAATAAGCAAAAAGAGCCAAGTGGGAAAACATCATGAAAAATCTGGAAGCCAGGCACAAGTCATTGAAAAACAAAAAAATGAGGGACAAAGGAATGTGGCCGTGGGGTGAGGTAAAATGAGAAGAATGCAAGCAAGGCTATCTCTCTGCAAGAGCAGATCTGGACACCTGGAAACAAGCTGCTCTGCTGTGTTTGTGCATTGCATTAGGAACTAGTGCTTTGGGAAATAGGGCTGCAGTTTTAGTCCTAGTTTCAAAAGAGGAAGAAATACTTTTTTAATAATTTAGCAATCGAGGGGCCAGAAGGTGGCATAGTGGTTAAGGCACTGGACTCCCATGTGGCTGACCTTGGTTTGAGTCCTAGACCCAGAGGCTTGAAAATCATGTCTGCCATGTATGCATGCATGCCCAGAATTTCAAGAAGAGAATGGAGGAGAAGGGATTATGGTGTGGCCATTCCCCTTGAGGATGATTTCTCACTTTCCTCCTCTCTCTCTGGCAAGCACTCACACCCTAAGACAAAAACCTAAAATGATAATAATAATAATAACTTAGCAGTCAAATTCCTGTTTATATATTAGAAAGACTACAAAACAGGAGCTCTAGACTTTTTGCATGCCCTTGTGCATTTGCAGCACTAATCATGATAGCCAAGGTGTGAAAACAACCTTTCCATCTAAGTGTGCATCAGCAGATGAATGGGCAAAGATTATTCGGTCATCCAAAGAAATCCTGTCATATGCTACGCTATGGATGATCTTGAGGACAATATGATAAGTTAAATAAATCCAACACAAAAAGACAAAGACAATCTATGAAGTACCTAGAGTAAGCAAACACATAGAAAGTAGAATGGTGGTTCCCATGGGATGAGGGGAAAGAGCGTGAGGACTTGGTCATTGGGTATAGAGTTTCAATAGTGCAAGATGAAAAGGTTTGGAAATATTGTATAGCAACGTGCATGTAATTAATAATGCTATATTGTGCACGTGAAACTTGTTTAGAGGGTAAATTTATATTATGCATTTTTAAACACAATTTAAAAATGCCTTTGTAAAGTCAACAATGAAAAATCGAGTTTCTTGACTTAGAGAGGTATATAGAGCTCTACCCAAACATCCTGCAAGGGTCAGAGGTTAGCAGATACCAAACTCTGTTAATCAAGAAACAACTTCCTATTTGTCAAGTGCCTCTCACAATTCTGTTGTTGCAGTTATTAGGAAAACACAGTGCAAGCTTAATCCCCCCAACCTGTACTGATGTGATTCTGTATATGTTTTCTTCATTCTTCCACTAAGTTTGTATCAGTACCTGTACCTGCCTGGTACACATAGTCTATAACAATAGGAATAAATCTGTCAAAAGAGAACTAAGACAGTAAGAACTAATGGTCTCATGAGAAACCAAATCAGCCAGGATATCAATCAAGAAGATCTGTAACAGATAAGAAAAGAGTCCACTCAAATATTCTCATGCGGTATAGAAGAAACTTCTAAAAGATCCATCTCTAATAAGTTATGTAGCTCTTTCTTCCTTTGGAGCTCAAATTTCCTTCCAAACCACATTCAGCTGATCTTCACATTCCTCTTGAAGAAAGCACCTTCAAATTACAGGGCTTTGTTTTCAGCTGCCTCTACCCACCTCCATCTTTCAGCTGACCTTTCACATCAGTTTTCTTATTTGTACTATTGGTCATATACTTGTCTTGATGCCCAAGAAAGATTTACTAATACCTTCCAATAATGGCAGTGAGATCGCAAACTCATCTCACAAGCCTTGTGCCTTCTCAACAAAGGTGATTTTAGTCCCAATAAGACAAAAATAATAATCTGGGAAGAGGGATTTTTTTAAATCTTAGAGCAATTATAATGGTTTCCAGAATCTTACTCCATAGTCTTTCATTTCTTTTGTTAAGGATAATTTAAATTTACTTATTTATTTATTTAGTAGTAAGACAATAATGAAATGGAGTTGAAAATCATTGCCCTTGCTGGGTAATAATGTTATTTGGCCACAGCTGAAGTGAACTGGACTCAAGCCAAGATGATAAAAATGATCTAGTTCTTAGATTTTGATTAAAAAATAAAAATGGAGAAATAGCTCATCTCCTATAATATACAAGCATACACTTAGTGCTGTAATTGCATCTCACATACACTGGGTCCAACATCATTTTTAGTTTCTTGTTACATCTCCAAGGAAGTCTTGGTTTATCCATGCAACAGTTCTGTGAAGTCTAAAACACATCCATACCAAAGGGTCCTTCTATGGCAGAGCATATTTTTGGCTTAAAACCTGTGGTTCATCCAAGGTAACAGTTGTTCTAGGAGGACAGAGACTATGTACTTTTAGTTTATGCTACCACTGTCTTACTCAGTGTCTGGTTGTTGATTCAACATGTTTGATTATTTTTAAATGTTGAGAATGGACCAGCCCTACAGCTGAGTGTTTAAGGCAACCAGCTCCAACAAGGCCAGCCACGTGGTTTGAATCCCTTCCCCACTGGTCTGAAAAACATGTCAGGCACATGTGTGTGCCTGCCCCAAATCCTGACAGGATGAGAAATCAAGGAGAATGGATTGCAGTGTGATTACACCCCATTGGGAGTGCTTACTTTCCCTCTCCCTCTTTATTGCTCTTTTTGTTTCTCTGTCTCTTTCAGGTGAGTATATGTGCCCTGTCAATTTTTTTAAATGTTGGCGTAATGAAAGAACTTTAGGTTCTGGGCCAGCAGGTGGTGTATTGACTAAGCTGCTGGACTCACACATAGCGGGTTGTGGTTTAGGTCCCAGACCCTGAGGCTTCAAAATCACTCTGGGTACATGTGCGTGCATGTCCAAGATCCGAAGTGGAGAATGGAGAAGGAAGTATGGTGTGGCCATCCCCCCAGAGGGATGATTTCTCATTTTTCCTCTCTCTGGTTCACACACGTGTTCTATGTAAAACAAAACAAAACAAACAAAAACACTTCTGTTTTAACCAGAACTGGCACTACTATTAGGCAAGTGGGTGCCTACAGGGCCTTCAGGTTTTAAGACATATGCTCATTTTAGTTCTGACTGATTTGAACCAAAGCGGAGTCCAATTTTCAAACCCTTCTCTTTAAAAAAAAAAAAAAATTTAGGGACCAGCAGTTAGTGTAATGGCTATGTCACTGGACTCCCATGTAGTTGACCACGGTTCAAGTCCCAGACCCGGTGGCTTTAAGTGCCGCCAGGTGTGTGTGCGTGCATGCCCAAGATCCCAAGAGGAGAATAGAGGAGAAGGGATTGCGGCATGGCCATGCCCCCTGCGGGGGGTGATTTCTCACTTTCTGTCTTTCTGGTGAGTGCATGAGCCCTATAGCAAAAACCTCTCTAAAAAAATTATTTATTAAGTATTATTATAATTCTGTTTTTTAATATTTACTATAGAGCTTATCAGAGAGAAACAGAAAGAGGAAGGGAAAGTTGGAATGCAAATCATCAGGTCCAGGACCTGAACTGCAGCCAACCATGTGGGAGTCCAGCGCCTTAACCACCATGTCTCCTGCTGGCCTCAAACTATTCTCTTTTAAAGTTGATTCACAGGAGTGATTTTTCTGGAAGTGATAAGGTCATGGGAGCTCAGAAAAGAGAAAGTGAAACCAAATATTTCAATTTCTCCATTCCACTTTTATGAGTAAATTTTTTTCTACTTGCATATGACTTACATTGACCCCAGAAACCTACATTTTTTTCACTTCTGTCTTCTAGATCACGACGGATCTGAGGCAGCGTTGCACGGACAACCACACCGGGACGTCAGCCTCAGCCCCTATGGCTGCAGGCATCATTGCACTAGCCCTGGAAGCCAAGTAAGCCTTGATCTCTATATGTCTTCACTGGTGACAACCCCTGAACTGAAGGAAAACTCACCCCTTCCCTTGCTTATAGTCCCTAGCATACGAACCCAGAATATAAGCTTCCCGATCTCACCTTTAAAACTTGAAAGATTTGGACTCTAAAAAAATTCTCCTATATTCAGAAGAAAAGTTTTTGGGTTTTATGTGCTTAAAAAGAAATCACACTGTGTAATGATTCTATTATGCAGTCATAGTGTAAGCATGCCAGTTGGCTCCAACACGCTTGCCTTGTTGAGGTTTTATTCTAGTCTGGGAATGTTCCTGGGAGTATCAGAGAGGTTAGGTCTGCCCATTTCTGGTCTCTTTTTCTGTAGCCCAGCAAAGCAGCTCAGATCGTGTATCTAGAGCATAATCACAGATTGACTCTGGGGGACAGACTATGTCAAGATCATATGACAAGAGCCTAGGGACAAAGACAACCCACTCCTCTCAAATCCTGTTCAAACTCTGTCCGAAAAGATCACTTTGAAAGTCTCCCTTAGGCTATTGGTAATAGGTCTCATCTCTTCTTTTTCTAAGAACAAATACGTTGATTTGTCATAACTTTTTTGAAAACCCAATACAGATCTAAAAATCATTTGTCCTTAATTTCAAAATCCAAGATGCTCAGAAAACCAAAGGTTCTTTTGTAAATTTAATTCCCAAATTCATTTGATGGCAAAGCTTGTCCTGGACTGTTTTGAGTCTGTTGACAATCTTTATTTATTATAGTTATTGTAAAAATTTCTTCATTGCAGTTCAGAAAGACGTATATATTAGTGCTGGCTCAGACCCCACTGGAGGTTTTATATATAATCTTATGTTATGGGAACTATCTCTGAAAAAATGTTGAATTTCAAATGCATCTGGTCTCAGGGTTTTAGGAAAGGGATTGAGAGCCTTTTCTCTGAGACTTTCCTTGCAGGAGGATCAGAAAAAAAAAAAAAAAGGAGCTGAAGTAATGACTTCAGCGTCTTTCCATAAATAGCCTTATACCCCTGCTCCAGGGAGGAATGCAAAGACTCATTCAGCTGGTTGCGCTGGAACAAGAGCAACTGCAGGTTACAGGGAAGGAAAATAAGGGTTGTGAAGGGGCTCGGACATTTCCGTTAGAATGGTGCTAGTTCATTCTCCCTGCACAGGTGTCTTCCACCACTTAGAGCTGCTTTTCTGTAAGGCAGAGGGTCTGTGTTCAGTTGGGCTTTAATATCATGTAGACACACTAAATTGTTAAGTCATACAATGCAAAACAGGGAAACGAACAGTCCCTGGATGTGAAGCCACATCTGGGTAGCCTCCCCTGCCTAAGCCTTAGCCTGGAACTCAATCCAAGCACCCATGAACGTTTAGATATCTTCTTTTTGCCAAGGTTAATTATGAAATTATCTGAACACATTATATCTCAAAAGGTGTTAAAAATGTGGATTTAGCAAGGAACTGGCACTTAATCTTATTAAATTCTCACTTTATAACTTTTCACTGTAGTGTTCTGGCAGCAGAAATCTCTGTTAAGTGTCTGTGTTTTTAATTTGGTGAACTCTAACTAGGACTTTTGAAAAATACGTTATTTTCATTCTGAAATTCTTGGTTGTTTCTCTGGAATATTTTCTTGTTCACAGACTATTGGGGGGAAAAAAATTGAGAAATTCTTCCACAGCCCCCCTCCATAAAAAGGCTACGATCACAAACTCAAACTTGGCAGTCCGATATTCTACCTGTCAGGACACAGGCAGAGGTGGGAAATATTTCCATTTGGGGAAATATTACTGTAACACTGTTATTTTCAACAACAATTCTCTTGGACCAGCCCCATGGCCTGGTGTTTAAGGGAACCAGATCACATATGATCAAGCTCATAGTTCAGATCTCAGCTCTAGTGGCTTGAAAAATAAACCAGGCATGTGTGCTTATGTGCCCAAAATTCCACTAAGATGGAGAGGTGGAGGAGGAGGGGTTACAGCATGACCATCCCCTACTGGGGAATGCTTTCTCCCACTCCCCTTCTCTCTGGTGAGTGCATACACCCTTTGGCACATAAAACTTTAATTAATTATTAATTTTTAAAAATTATTTTAACTAATTAAACTGAAGTACAAAATGCTTACTGTGCCTCAAACAGCTCTCTCAATAAAATAATTTTACTTTGAAAAAAAATTTTAAAAATAAGGTTACTTTGGGGCTGGATAATACATTGAAAGACTGTAACTATTTTTGTTTTGCAGTTTGAGCTGTTCATTTTGTTTGGTTTTTGGTTTTTGCCATAGGGCATGTGCATTTGCTGGAGAAGGAAACTGAGAAATCACCCCCCAGGGGAAATGGCCATGTCAAATTCTCTCTTCTTCATTTTCTTCTTGGGATTTTGGGCACACACACACATGCGCCTGGCATGAGTTTTATTTAAGCCATTGAATCAGGTACTCACTAAACCATGTCAGAGTCCAGCATCTTAATCACCACGCCAAGTGCTGGCCCAACATTTTTGAGCATTGTTTAAAGATTTATTTATTTTACTTATTTATTTATTTTTACCAAAACTTGTAACAGGAAGGTCCCAGGGTATGAGCTACCTGGAAAATCCATTGTATTTAGCTTTTTAGCAGTCCAGCCCAATCACGGAGCCAAAATAAAGTGAGAAAGAATAAACCTTTCCTTATAACTCTGTTGGTTTGTCCTAGAAGACAATATTTGCCTGTAACTGAAGCTACAATTACAGGAAAGAGGTCTGAGTACTAAAGGGGTAGGTCAGGTGTTGATGTTAGACTTGCATCAATAAGCAGTGGGCCTCCAGTTGGAACAAAAAGTATCTAAAACTAAGAAATTACAGAGAGGAGCTCAAATAGCAGTGCACCAAGCTGCAATTGTTCTAGCCCTTTCAAATGTCCCTCGCTCACTTACCCTGCTGCCCACCTCACACCCTCCGCTTACACTACTTCCTCTCAGCAGCGCCTAAACTTTGGTATTTTGAGATTCCTTCTTTACTATCACAAGTTGAAAAGCCAGAACTGCAAGGTATTCCCTTCTGAGGAGAAAGATAGAAAGCCCCAGCTAGGCAGAGTTAAGGCTGAGGACACTGCTGTGCTCTCCAGATATGCACAGTCTGCCCACATAGGGGTTTGCTTAGTAACCGGATGGGCTGAGCTTTCAGGAAAAAGCCACAAGTAGAGCTTTTCAGCCCCTTTTAAGTGCATATCCTATGGGACCAGCAGATAGCATAACGGTTACATTGCTGAACTTTCATGTAGTTATCCATGGTTTGAGGCCTGGACCTGGAGGCTTAAAACTCATACCAGGTGCATGTGCATGGTTGCCCAAGATCCTGAGAGGAGAATGGAGGAGAAGGGATTGTGGCATGGCCATCCTGCCCCAGGGAGTGATTTCTTGCTTTCTGTTTCTCTCTCTCTGTCTCTCCAGCAAATATACACGTCCTATAGTGAAAATCTCTTGAAAACAATTAAAAAATAAAATAAAAAGTAAGTACATCCCAGCTGCCCCTGTACCTCAGAACAAAGGTACCACTTGTATGGATATCACTAGATCGCAGTATTTACTCAGAACAGCAGGGAAAACTCCTACCCCCTCAGCTTCCCTGTGGCCAGCTTCCTTTACACTCCCTCCGTACCAGCGTACACCAGGAGACTTGCCTGGGTCAGCAGGACTCGGGGTTCTGTTGTGGATACCACTTCTACCATTGACCTTGGCCATTCTGAAGCCTCCCAGGAAGGGGAAAAGGTTACAAAACATAGAAACCTAGGTTTAAAATGTCCAGATCTCTTACCTGAACTTAACAAAAGGTTGCATTAACTTTGCTGTGACAGACAATAGGACACTCAGGTCATCTTCAATGTACGTGGTATATAATAACATGCATTGCAGCAATTTCCACGACAACCCCCCAAACCCCGCCCCAGGTACTTGAATGAAAGTGGTCTACTCCCAAGACTGGAAGAGTTCTAAGTTTCTCTACAAAATCTGTCTCCTTATCTTTTTGGGAGGTGTGAGTGTTGAGCCCCTTTTGATTATTTCAGCTCTATGGCCACCTCCAAATCTTGCCTCTTTGATAACTGAGGCAATCTCCTTCTTGTCTTCAAAGATGCTTCTAAAAATCATGAACAATTTCAGAATAAGAGAAAATACTGTTATCTTAAAAGAGAATAGAAAAAGAAAAAACACTTTTCGTGTTGAGGTACCTTCAGCACATATTTCTTGGTTCAGAAGATTTGTAATATCGGGACCAGCAGTTAGCGTAATGGCTATGTTGCTGGACTCCCATGTAGTCGACCGTGGTTCACGTTCCGGACCCGGCGGCTTAAACTCACGCCGGGTGCATGTGCATGCGTGCCCAAGATCCCGAGAGGAGAATGGAGGAGAAGGGATTGCAGCATGGCCATCCCCCCTGGGGGGTGATTTCTCGCTTTCTGTCTCTCTGTCTCTGTCTGTCTGGCGAGCGCACACACCCTATAGTAAAAAAAAAAAAAAAAAAAGATTTGTAATATTTCAATTTGGGGGATTTTACAGATTTGGGGGGTAATTTTCTGGTTCTTCAGCTGACTGAATAAGGATCATGTATTCACTGATTACGAAGGAACTAATTACCATCTGAGCCATTGCTACTTAAAGTAATACCTTTTTATATGGAATTATTCATAAAGTTCAAATAAAATGAGTGTCCTAGGAAGCAGATTTCATAAAGAAAGAAAGTAATGAAAGATAACTGTACTAATGTTAGGTTCGCAACCAAGAGCAACAAGTAATGCTGGTAAGGTTCTTTGCATCTAGACCTGGTATGTATTCCTGGCACTTTAGACTTGTTGGAAAGGGGTGGTCAGGGGAAGGAGCTTGCTAGCAAATGATGCTTCATATAAAATGGTTTATAAAAATAAAAGGTAAAATAACTGACATCCATATAAGTACAAAGTGCTCAGAATAATAAACTATTTTATCAAAAGTTTATCTGACCTGGGACCAGCAGTTAA